TGAAGAGGTTCTATTCAGGCACCTTCAATTTTGCGTACGCGCTCGCGCAGCGCGTTGCTGCGTGTGTTCAGAGCGACACGGCCGCGGTCTGGCGGCTGCGCGTTCCAGCAGCTGGCGCAGCTCCGCGTACAGGCGGTGCGTAGTCGCGCAGCTTGCACCTTCCCGCTCGATGGACGCCGCTGCGCAGCACGTTCTGCAAGAGCATGCACTGGCACCACAACACGCACTGCTGCGCACACTCATCTCATGGAGCATCTCCACGCTCCGCTCGACGGCCACCGCACAGCGACGCAGCCGTCTTGAGCAGAGCTTCAGCAGCACCTGCGCACCAACACACCCATCTGCTGCGGCCAACTTTTACTGAGCATTCACTCCGCCGACGGCCAACACGGCCAACCAAGCGACAGCAGCCGCTTGCAGCAGCTGCTATCTGGCAGCGCACTCGACCGAACAACACCATCTGCTAGCGCACACTTCTTCCATGGAGAAACTCCGTCACGGCCACTGCCGGACGCAGCCGCTTCTCGGCATGATGGCAAACCACCAGCTGCGCCTTCTTCATGAAGACCTCCTGTACGCCAGCCACGACACACTGCACGCTTTGCCACCAGAAGATGCTGGCTTACGACCTCCGTCGACCCGGCCTCACCACGTTCCGAACTCGACCTGCACTCACACACCATCCTGATGCGCGCACTTCTTCACTGGAGGCATCCACTTCCCAGTCGATGACACGGCCCTGAGGCCAAGCCGAGCTTTGCAGCAGTGACCTAAGAACAGAAACACAAAATGCTTGCGGTCAATATGTCGGATATCAAGACGCTTCTAAAGCAGCCTATCAGAGTCAGAAATTTGCACACAAGCAGATGTACCATACTCTTCAATTTGAAGTCCTCAATGAAGTGTTGCAGTTAATAAAACCTCTGAGCAATGTATTCTCTACAACAGTTAATTGCGTCGAATTACGTTCTGGGTGTATTTTGCGGTTTTTCTGAAAAATATAAGATGTTAAATCGCAAAAAAGTCTATGCGTGTAATTTCGCTTATCAGTTGCGCTTAGACCTTGGGTTCTCAGAAAAAACGTGTCAGTCGAAATGATCGGAAAATTTCGTCGATCCTTTAACACTTTTAGACACAAAAATTATATCCAGCCATAAGCAAAAATCTGCACATAAATCAAATCTTACAAAACTAAAGTCTTCCAAAATGAGTAGTTTCAGAAAATTCACCATTTGTCAGACGGTGAGAAATGTGCTACTAAGACCATTAAATTGAAAGTATCGTATTTCAGTTTTCACAACGAATTCAAAAAAATCATATTCATAGGCAATATCCAATAATTAAATGAAGATAATCCAATTGAGGGAAGAATGGAAAAAACACTAATTTCGAAGTTCCTTTCTGAAGATCAAGTATGTAGGTACAACTTCGTCGAGAAATGTCAATGTGCAAACAGGGCAGTTAAGGTCCGTGACGGTATTGATTGGCGAAAGTTTAGAGAGGCGCTGTGAATGAGTCAAATTGGAAGCGTGGCCAAATCTCGTAAAGTGAGAGAAAAAGGGAAAGAAAAACTTATTTCGTAGGTTCGGCGTGGATATTCGAGAATGTAAGTAACAGACTCGTCCGACGAGATAATGTCCAGATGTGGGCCATGAACAGACGTCGAATGTCAGCTGATGATGACCGGAATTAAGTACGCGGTTGAGAATCGAAATGGAAGCCCAGATTCGGTGCGGTGGTTGAGGGAAATGTCTCTCTGCTTTGTCAAGTTACAAAACGACCCCTCTTTACGTGCCAAATTTCGAAAAATATTAATTTTAGCACTGCTATCTCTAATTCTATATTCAAGTAAAACACATTAAAAGAAATTGGAGTTTGCTTTGCACCAATCAATCAGACAATTAGTTTCCGAAATAGACGAGAAACAAAATGAACGTCAATTGTTTAAGTTACAAAACGACTCCTCCTTACGTGCCAAATTTCGAAAAATATTAATTTCAGCACTGCTACTTCTAATTCAGTATACAAGTAAAACACATTAAAAGAAATTGATTGGTGCAAAGCAAACTCCAATCAGACGAATAGTTTCCGAGATAGACGAGAAACAAAATGAATTTCAATTGTTCAAGTTACAAAACGACCTCCCCTTACGTGCCAAAATTCGAAAAATATTAAATTCAGCACTGCTATCTTTAATTTAGTATACAAATAAAACACATTAAATAAAATATATTGGTGCAAAGGTAATTCAATTAGACGAATAGTTTCCGAGATAGACGAGTAACACAATAAACCTCAATTGCTCAAGGTACAAAACGACCCCCCCTTACGTGTCAATTTTCGAAATATATTAAATTCAGCACTGCTATCTCTAATTCTGTATACAAGTAAATTACATTAAAAGAAATTGATAGGTGCAAAGAAAAATCCAATCAGACGAATACTTTCCGAAATAGACGAGAAACAAAATGAACTTCAATTGTTCAAGTTACAAAACGACCCCTCTTTACGTGCCAAATTTCGAAAAATATTAATTTTAGCACTGCTATCTGTAATTTTGTATAGAAGTAAAACACATTAAAAGAAATTAACTGGTGCAAAGCAAACTCCAATCAGACGAATAGTTTTCGAGATAGACGAGAATCAAAGTGAACCTCAATTGTTCAAGATACAAAATGACCCCCGCCCCATACGCGCCAAATTTCGAAAAATATTAATTTCAGCACTGCTATCTCTAATTCTGTATACCAGTAAAACACATTA